TATACACACACACACACACACACACACACACACTATATATATATAAATATAGGCCTATATATCTAAAAATAAATACTTGTCATTTGCACTTACATATTGTTGCGCTTTTGTTAGTTTTGATTGCTTCTATTGTCCTCATTTGTAAATTGCTTTGGATAAAAGCGTCTGCTAAATGACTAAATTTATTAATAAACAAGAAGTCTATTTACCGTCTAGGTCAGCAGCCCTGCTCAAACACACATGGGCTGTTTGTGCTGGTAAAGATGAGGTTACTTACTCGCCTTTGATTTTCCCCGTCACATACGCGGCTCTCCACATGTGGCCCTGCAGCTGTTTGAGCGCAGTGCTCTTTCTGTCCGCAGCCATCTGCCACAGCACACTATCCACCACCTCCCGGATGGCCTTCTCCTCGTCTGTGTGAACCGTCTGGTCCACAGCATGAACGGGACATGCTTTATTCTGCCGCAAGTCTTCTTCAGCCTGAAACACACACGGGGTACCCATACACCCATATTACAAATAAAACTGTATAAATCGCTTGTTTTACTAAAGAAACGTAGGCAGGTAAAGTTACAGCAGGAGTTCGCGTCTCTCTTGCCTCCCCTGAGCCCACTGAGTTTAAAACAGAACCCCTCAAACGACGTGCCGTGACTTTAGTGGGGGGTAACTGAGAATGAATGGGGGAAAGTCAAGTGAGAGGAGGCAATGCTCGGCTTTGATTGGTTCATGCAATAAATCCCACCTTGTGTTCGTACATGTTCGCGAATCAGTCTAAAAGAACATTATAATGCATCCAAAAACATTAAAATATCCAAAAACCACTAGAACAGTGTTATATATTTTGCTGACTTTTGTACTTATCCCAAATGTTTTGAAAACTGTTTAAATCCAGAGAAATAAGCAATTTTAACTAGTGGCACAGAGCGTGTCTATAGTGTCATTGTGTCGCCTGCCGAAGACGTCATAAGCCCTCGATTTCCAGCTTTGTTTTGTAGAAAACATGGAAACACCAAAGACGCGTTCTTGAATACGCGCCCTCTAGCGGCGAAAATGACATATTGTGCCTTTACCCAAGACAATGTGACCGGGACATGAATTTACATCTGATTTCAGAACACCACTGATTTACATGCATTTTTCCCCCCCCAAGAATAACATTGTTTAACCATGTTTTACCACCACAGATTAAAGTGCTTGTCAATATATCTTGAGAAGGACTAAAAGGATTTGAAGCGTTTGTATAATACTTCCTTTAATGTAAAGCGAATAATAACAAAAAGATTAACCATGTTCCGTACAGATGATGTTTTAGCGCCGATCGCTAAATAAATACTTCCAGGTCGTGCATAAACTATACATCAGTGTCATCCTGATTTCTCCCTCTTTCACCCCGAGCAAGACAGAGACCCACCCGCGGTTTGTTTCAGTGTGATTTCAGTAAGTGTGCCGGGTGCCCCCTGCGCTTGAAAACGGACAGCTTGGGTGGAGACCACTAGAGCAGCGAAAATGTACATTTCTATTTAATTTGTGTTTCTCACAGTACTACAGCCTCTATGAAATGAATATGATGTTATCACAAATTGTTAAATATATTACCTTTTGTTGAATAAATGCTCTGAAATGGGAATTTGTAAACTTCGATTGCAGGCGAAGACCACTTAGCGCCACTCTCGGCCGAGACAGTGCACTGATGAGGCTTATATTCATGTCGTCTTCAGAAAGATATGGAAATGTTATTCACTAATAATTAATACCACAACACGATCATGCTGCGGGTCAGCGGATTAGCTCTCACGCAATTCACTTACATTTTAATCAAATAAAAAAAGGTAATCGTCTTTCTTATCCATTTAAATAATGTTTTATTCGGTTAAAATAAATAAACAGCTCACAGTTGATCAGTTAAATGTCCATTTCGCCGATTAAATCAAGCTATGCGCGCTGTAGGAGCACCGTTGACCCTGATCGTCTTCCGTACACTGGCGGGGGCGGGACTTCGTCCCACTTTCCTCAAAAGCTATTGGTCCTAAAGACATCAATCAAAGTGTGGCCTGCAGAATGGGTATTCCCCCAGAGAACGATCACACAAGCATGCTTGATTGTCTTTCAATAACGGAGGAGTGGTCGCGAACAGCGAAAAGTGTGGTCTACGTTACACCTTTACGTTTAAAAACAGTGACTACCCATTTACACGTGAACATAAGCTGGCCGAAGCGCATAAACGGGGTGTTTTGACCTGTTTCTTGAGCAGATGCACGTCTTGTTTGCATTCATCCTCCTCCCAGTGAGCAGACAGATACTCCTCCAGATTCTCTCTGATGAAGGGGAATAAGATGTCCTGCACACAATAAACCATCGGGCTGCTTCTCCTCGCACATAATGAATTCATTTCTATGCTCTTCTATTATCATCTCTGTCAGCTCTTACCTTGACAAACGTGATGGGCGTCGTGGTTCCCTCGATGTCCAGAAGAAAGACTCTGGCAGGTCCTGGGACTGCAATCGCTGCCATTTCCATCAACGGCGACCGATGTGTGTGTGTGTGTGTGTGTGTGTGTGTGTGCTGGGCGTGATGATCAGCTGAGCAGCTCTGCAGCCCGAGGCTAGCGCTGAGCTCACGCGCGCAGCGCCACAGAAGCCCCGCCCCCTGCTCTCCGCGTGATCGATGCTACCCTCACACTGGCACGCTTCTCATCACATACAGCAGCTGCACAGCTATACTTCATATACTTGGAATAGGCGTCAGAAGGTGATAATAATAGTTTATTAAATATTCGATTGTTAGTTCTACACACCTTTTGAGGGGGTAAAAATGTTGTGTGCATACAGTTATTTCTTTAGTAATTTGATAGGCGTGTAGCCGCATGTACACCTTTAAGCGGTTTTGTGAAATCTGGCAACACGGCTGGGAAAGGCTGTCGAGTAAGCAGTACATTCACATTTAGACATTTAGCAGACGCTTTTATCCAAATAATAATAACATTAATGTAAATGTGAAATTAAAGTAAATGTGATAAGTAAAGGATGCATATAAATAAAATAGCCATTGTGTGAAATTCATGAATTCGTGTACTTATTTGGTAGTTGTGTGTGTGTGTGTGTGTGTGTGTGTGAGAGAGAGAGAGAGAGTGAGTGTGTGTGTGTGCATAACTGGTTATATAACGAAAATACAATTCATATAAAGAATTGAAGGAAAATAATTTCCTTAAAGGGACATTGTTGTTGCTGCTGATATTATTAATACAATTAATGTTGTTGTTATTGTTCGTTTCTAGTCAGGGTAATCAATTTAGGAATAATGTACCTTCTTAATAAGATCTTCATGGAAGTAAAGTAATGTTTCAGGCTTCATTGTTCTCTTCCCACCGAATCAGGCCCCGCCCCCGATGCTGGACTGTTCATTGTTGTTAGTACACTCTCTAATAATGGTGTCATTTATTGGAATTATTTAATGGAACGCACATGTTATTATTACGGATAACTGGGTCATTGCAAAAAACAAAAAAACTAAACAAAAGAAAACAAAAAACACGTTGTGATTAGATGTCTCTTTTATTATAGCAACGGCTGTGTGTTTCTTCGGCAGTGTTAGCGTAAGCCCCGCCCACCCTCCCCGTCCTCGTAAGCCCCGCCCACCCTCCCCGTCCTCGTGCAGACGGAGCTCGTCACTGATCTCCGTCCGCCATTTTAATCAACGCGGCGCTTTATTCGTGTTGAAGTCTTTGACCTTTTAAATCCACAGCAATACACTCAGCTTCGTAGCAGGCGTCGGACCAAACTACACACACTCCAGAATGCAGGCCGAAGAGCAAGGTGACTTCAGCACCGACGAGTTTCCAGAAGGCTCCAAGATAAACGCGAGTAAAAACCTGCAGGACGACGGGTGAGTCCGGAGCGAGGCCCGCGCGACACAACAACAGCTTAGCGTGTAGAAACAGTCTTCTCATCGACCGTTCACTTCCATGCGGGGAACAACGCTTATATTATTAATATGCACAATATTAAACTGCATAACATCGAGCTCAAGATGCTCGAAACCTAGGAACGTTACTTAACCCGTTTGCGTACTAGCATATTAGCGTTTAGTTTGGGCATTGAAAAAAAAATACAATACTTTATTCTGTTGCATTTCTTACATGCATTACCAGCAAATGTGTGTATAATGCCAGCAGTTGCGTGTTAGTGCATCGATTATTCTGGTGTGATTTGAATGGTTTATTTTTGTGCAGGAAAATGTTCATCGGTGGACTCAGTTGGGACACCAGCAAGACAGACCTCACTGACTACCTGTCCAAGTTTGGAGAGGTCCTTGACTGCACCATCAAAACAGACCCCATGACGGGCCGCTCCAGGGGCTTCGGCTTCGTGCTCTTCAGAGACGCTGAGAGCGTCGATAGGGTAAGTGTTCCCCTCAGGCTGTACGCTTACTGATAACATCCTCGAGGCAGCATTCATAGCAGGCTCTTGATGTGTTCAGGTGCTAGAGCTGAAGGAGCACAAGCTGGATGGGAAGCTGATCGATCCCAAGAGAGCCAAAGCCATGAAGGGCAAGGAGCCGCCCAAGAAGGTGTTCGTCGGCGGTCTGAGTCCAGACACGTCTGAGGAGCAGATCCGGGAGTACTTTGGAGCTTATGGGGAAGTGAGTATCTCGAATTAAGGTCTCATTGTTTGGAAGTAGCACCACACCGGTGCGTCTAAACTAACCGGTGTGTTTTTCTCTCAAAAGATTGAAAACATTGAGCTGCCCATGGACACCAAAACAAGCGAAAGGCGGGGATTCTGCTTCGTGACATACGTTTTAGAGGATCCCGTTCAGCAGCTGCTGGAGAACAGATACCATCAAATCGGATCAGGGAAGGTATGTTGATATTATCATGATATTATGTTTGACAGACATGCATACCTCACTCTGTATTAATACAACGGATCATAATAGGCATATCATCCATCTTAGTATTGTGTCTTATATTTACACAACCATTTGGGGGTCCGTAAGGTTGCTTTGTTTCTTTTTTTAAATCGCAGCTGTGTTAAAAAGATGATTTTATGCTGTCACTTTTTATTACGGTGAGTAAAGCAATACTTTGCCCAAGCCTACATGTGAGTAATGCTGTTAATCTTTGTTGCCAGTGTGAAGTCAAAGTTGCCCAGCCTAAAGAAGTTTACAGACAGCAGCAGGGCAGAGCGGACCGGGGCTTTGGAGGAGGACGAGGAGGCTTCAGGGGCCGTGGAAGAGGTTTGCAAATCTAGAGATTGCTGCTGTCTTTTATTCCCGTGGTTCTGGACTGAAAGTGCTCCTCTGACTCTCTGTGAACAGGACAGGGCCAGGGCTATAATCAAGGATACAACAGCTACTACGGCCAGAACTATGGAGGCTACGGCGACGGATACAACCAGGGCTATAATGGCTATTCTGGCTATGACTATTCGGGATACAACTATCCGAATTATGGCTATGGACAAGGCTATGATGATTACAGTGGTAATTTTACACCATTTCTTATTGAACCTTTAACATTCAGAGACCCAAGCCTTGATATTCATGATGTATTGTTTTTTCCTCCCTTTAGGAAGCCATTAGTTATAAAAATCCATTCAGTTTAGGCAAAAATTACATTGGGGCATAATTTGGCAAAATTGCACCTTTTTGTTTTATACCAAGTTAGAGTCAGTACAATTAAGCACACAAATGTATTTAGAAGAATAATTTATTCAACCAGTATAAGGATACAGTTGTAACAAAATGTTAATTAAGTACTATAAGTATTATTAAACCGTTTTGAATAGTGTATTCATTTTAATATCACTTTATATATGAAGAGCTCATTTGCAAAAACCGATAAATGGCACTTTAAAAAAAAAAAAGAGCTGATTGCCGTGCATTATTCTTAAGCACACAAATGTATTTAGAAGAATAATTTATTCAACCAGTATAAGGATACAGTTGTAACAAAATGTTAATTAAGTACTATAAGTATTATTAAACCGTTTTGAATAGTGTATTCATTTTAATATCACTTTATATATGAAGAGCTCATTTGCAAAAACCGATAAATGGCACTTTAAAAAAAAAAAAAAGAGCTGATTGCCATGCATTATTCTCCTCATATAGCGCGATCTGAACCAAAAATCAAAAAAGCCGGTTTTGTCCACTTTCAAGGCATCGCTAGTTCACGTTTTACTGCAGAAGCCGACAAGCGTCCTTTGTTGTTTTTGAACAGAAGCCGATAAGTCCATTTCAGCGAATCAGCGTGCTGAACTCAGGTCAGGTGACAAGGCTACTTCACTCCTCTTGCTAGCTGAGAGGAGTTTCGTCAAAGCGGACTAAAAGTGATCGAGGATCATTTCGACAAACTTGATGAACCTGTGATATCTTCTTCAGGCCGAAAAAGGAAAATAAAAGCTGAAACGTTTTCACGGAAGCTTGCAAACATCTAAAACATGAGATGTGGAGTTATCTGCTTTTGCTATAAAACAAACTTTTAATATGTAAATTAAAACATACTTTCAATGAACTTTAATTTTGTAGATTACCTGTATTTAAGTTATTATTACTTAATCAAAACAACCCAACTGCAGTTTGATTGATATTACTTGGAATGCACAATAAGTATCGTTATCGGTTATAAGTTATCGGTTTTTGCAAATGAACTCTTCATACATATACATACATATATATATATATATGTGTGTGTGTGTGTACACCATCTCAATGAAAATGATGAAACTGCTCCGAATACAAATTGAAAAATCAAATAAAAAGTTTACAAAAGTGTTTCAAGTGCTTTGTAAGTACATAAAGTTGTTCCCAACCAAACCTGCAGTTATGTGTAGGTTTTATCCACATTTAGTGATATTTAGGTATTAATTGCTTTACACGAACGTTGTAATACTGCTATGCGGCAGGTCTCTTATCACTATATTTAGGGATAATTTCTGGCCATTTGCATTACAGTACAGGTACAGTGGTTTTGTAGGAAAGCAAAGAGCAGCAAACATTCTCAAAAAGTGCAACAACAACAAAAAAAAGACACTGTACAAATTGCTATATATGTTTGTAATCTCTGTAGGTCAGCAGAGCAGTTATGGCAAGGCCTCGCGGGAAAGCGGAACCCATCAGAACAGCTACCAGCCGTATTGATAAAGCGGCTAAACACGCTCATGTTCATGGTAAGGTCACATCTTTGCTGCGTTCTGGACCGAGCTCAATGTTAAAGATCAATAGACACTATATGACTACGCATATCAATGCGCCAGAGTTGAACAACACATGTCTATAGATCTTTAATAACTCATGTTTGTGTAGCCATTTTGCCTTTTTAGCATGCCAGAAAAACGTAAGTGTTTTTCTGTAGGTTTTCCTTTTCCTCCTCCTGCTTTAACAGGTGATCATAATGGAATAACATAGAGACTTGATAGCAATGCTAACAGGTAAAGTACAGCTAAGGGGTACAGAGTAAGGGCGCCTCTCCTGATTTCTCCTTTCTTTCCCTAATTCTGATTATTGTACCTTGTTTGTACCTGCCAGCGGGGACTTCATTGCAGGCCGTGTGTCACCTGACCGCCACATTCTCTGGGCGTCGCACATAGCGGGCAGAGAGCACGGCATGCACGAGAAAGCGCTGTCCTGTGGTATGGTCTCTTCAAACTTCCTGTACCAGCGTAAAACAAACAAAAAGACAAAAGGAGATTCCCCCATTTTCCTTAAGTTGTTGGTTTTCGTTAACAGTTCCAAATGTGTTTTTTCCAGGACTTTGTTAACGTAACCTAAAAGTGATTCATAACCGCTTCATTGTTGTATTCTCTTGTTCAATTGTAGTGCTCTTGTGTTTCAGTTGTGGAGCTTCAGTGATTTATTCTTTGGTTTCAGTCATTAATTGCATAAACTCTCTCATAATGCTTGCTTTTTCTTTAGAGGCCATAGAGAACTTCAAATGGGTTCACCTCGAGGCTTTTCCTAAAGCGTAGCCTTTAAAGATCATATGTAAAGTGGGTTTGCCAAGCCATTGAAAGCTGACAAATCTGTGTTAGACCGATGAAACCTGCTCGTGTATTATTGGCTAAATGCAAATGACAATTTTCGGTTTCAAGGGGAAGACGTTTGGCTCGCTCCTCGATTGGTCGCTGAGGCTTTTGCTGGCTTACGAGCCGTTTTGTCAATCTAAGACGTCGAGCATATGATCTTTAATCGTTAATGATGGTTTTCCTAGTTTAAAATCGACAGCTCAAGAAGTTAAACACTGAAACATGGACGTGCTGTTGTTTCTTTTTCTTTAACCTGTCCAAATCGAGTGGTTCATCTTGCGTATCTTCTCTTGTAGGTGGGCAGGCTGACTTCGACATTGCTCCTCGGAGGCAGCTTGTGGATTCCTGTCCTTAAACAACTATAAATACAAAAAAATAACGTTATTCAGTCCTGTGGGGACGGATTCAGTGTCTAACCTTGTAAATAGCGAGGCGTTTTGTTTCCAAGCTTGTCTTATTCCGTGCTTTGTTCAGATTGAACCTGTAGGTTTTGTGCTGATGTGTTCTTAAGTCTTGAATAGAAGAGAAAAAAATCCTTTATTTTGTATTTTAGTTCTTTTCCTGAAGGTTTTTGGATAAAGGGATTAAAAATTGCGAACAAATGACATTGTTGTGCTGTGTTTCTTTCATTTTCTCATTCGTGGTTTCTAGTGTGTTATGGGTGGCTACACCTGTGATGATCGCATCATATGACCCTTTTAAAGTAGGTCTTAAAGTCTTAATTTTCATTTACACATGAAGGCCTAATAGGTTTTAAATTGTATCAAAAACACTTAAAATCATAAAATCGTGGCATTAAATGTTCCATATAATGCAAAAATGACCATCTTTGTCAGTATTTTTGTCGTTTTGCAAAACATTGTTAAAACAAGATATATTTACTTCAAATGCAAACTTCAGATAGAAGTGTTGTTGTTTTTTAAACAAGAACATAGGCTATCCGTCAGTGGGGAATAAAAACTTTTCACTTTTAACTAAGTTGCTTTCTCTGAGCCTAATAGCAGGTATTTGTCCTTTTTAAACTATAAATTCACTTCGTTTTGATAAATATCCCAGAAAATAAGATGACTTATACATCCTTTAGCATCTTGTATTTAAACATTTTCACTGACAAAAATACTTAGAAGGACAGTAAAAGATTTTTCCATATTCTAGTAGTTAAGCTTTTTGTTTTGGTATTATTAATTAAAAAGTAATGGAGATTGGTTGTAAATTGTGCTCATTGTGTTCTCGTTAGAGACTTGCATTGAGAGAACATATTGGCGTATTCCCTTTAATATTTTCCCCTACATTTTCTTTAAGCAGTCTTATAATTTTCCTTCATAAACCTTGCAGAAACCCTGTTATCGTTTGTCTTTTGTTATGTAGTACTTGACCTATAAGGGTTTTCAGCCCATATAAATCACTGTAATGTCTTCCCCCACAATCTGCTGTAACATCAGTCTTTTTGGTTTTTAGGAAATTGTTCGTCGGAGGCTTGAGTTGGGACACAACAAAGAAAGACCTGAAAGACTACTTCTCTAAATTTGGAGAGGTGGTCGACTGCACCTTAAAGCTGGATCCTCTGACAGGCCGGTCCAGGGGCTTTGGGTTTGTTCTGTTTAAAGCGGCTGAGAGTGTGGAAAAGGTATTTGTGTGTGTGTGTATTTATAAATCTGTTAGAATTATGCCGTTTGAGTTTTGAGGCAGCTGTGACTGATTAAATCAAATCTCGATGTGTGTCTGTTCCTCGTCAAAGGTGATCTCACAGAAGGAGCACAAACTGAATGGAAAAGCGATCGACCCTAAGAAAGCGAAGGCCATGAAGTCCAAAGAGCCTGTGAAGAAGATATTTGTAGGAGGTCTTTCCCCAGATACTCCAGAGGAGAAGATCAGAGAGTACTTTGACGCCTGCGGAGAGGTATAGAGAAAGTGTAAAGCTGATAGACGTTTGTAATATATATATATGTATATGTGACAAAACACTGCATGATTTACATTTCTATACTTTCCTCAGGTGGAGTCCATTGAGCTGCCAATGGAGAATAAAACAAATAAAAGACGAGGTTTTTGTTTTATAACATTTAAAGAGGAGGAGCCAGTAAAGAAAATAATGGAGAAGAAGTACCACAACATCGGTTTAAGCAAGGTACAGTCTTAAAATGATCCTAATCTGCATGATCCTGCCATCTGACATAAATCATAAATGTTATATACCTTCATTATTTTAAAACAAAAACCGTTTCTGGTGAAATATTGTCAAAGATCTTTGTATTATAGATTTATAAAACCTCATGAAGACAATGTGAGGAAATAGCTTTTTTGTACAAATGTATTAAAACCTATGGAGACCTGCACATGACATGCTGGAAAAACGTTTTAGTGATATTTCCCCCTTGTTTTAGTTCAATTCCTACAACTCTTTCTTAGGCCACAGCTTTATATCACTTTAATGGTACATCCTTTTTTTTTTGTTGCCAAAAATCACTTGTTTGATAAATTAGCATGTGGAAATGCAGTTAAATAAAAGGTACTTCATTTTATTTGCATGTTTTTTTCTGTGATGTGAGAACTGAGAATCAGTAGTCAGGCTTTATATTGACCCACAACGTTTATTTGTGGGTGAAATGCTCCTGACAGCTTTGACGGTGAATGTTGTTGTGGTTCTGATAGTCATGTGGACCCTGTCATTGTGTCTGCAGTGTGAGGTCAAGGTGGCCATGTCAAAGGAGCAGTACCAGCAGCAGCAGCAGTGGGGCGGAAGAGGAGGATACGCCGGCAGAGCCAGGGGCAGAGGAGGTGCGGCATGCAGGAAAATACAGCACACGAAATAACACCACATTAACCCTTTGATAGAGTGGAGCAAAAACAGAATGTTGGAATTTGGAATGTTGACTTGAAAAAATAATTTCCTTAATTGCAATTCAAAGAAATTCCAAATTTAGCTAACAAAAAACTTCTGATTCATTTGGGCTACTTCTACTCTGATGTGATGGATAAATGTTTTTTCTCAAGTGATTAGATACTTCTAATCATCTGAACCATATTTTTCTAGACTCATTACAATAATGAGGTCAATAAACACATTCGTTAACTTTACTGTTGAGCACCACAAAATGTACACCAATTCAGGATAAATTTATAGAAATATCAAAATATCTTTTTATATAGTTATATACTGAATTAACTAGTGCATGAAGTGCTCTTCCAATGTGATCCATAAAATGAACACTAATTCATTAAATACAATTAAGAATTCTGTACTTGGCACTTTGATCATTATTAATATTTCTGGGAATTGCTTTAAAGGGATAGTTCACCCAAAAATGAAAATTCTGTCATTAATTACTCACCCTCAAGTCGTTTCAAACCCGTAAGACCTTTGTTCATCTTCGGAACACAAATTAAAATATTTTTGATGAAATGTGAGAGCTGTCAGACCCTCCCATAGACAGCAACACAACTGAAATGTTCCCAAGTCCAGAAACCTAGCAAGAGATCTGTAAAATAATCCATGTGACATCAGGGGTTCAGCTGCGTCACACGAATACGCTGTTTCCTTTCAGATCAAATCACAACAACGTAGGAAACAGATCCGGCGTGACGCAGGCAGCTGACACTGAACTGCATACGCTGTTTACGTCCAGCAGATATTCTCCAAAATGGCTGTACAGGGTGATGTGAAGGAGACGAATTGTTGAATAAAGTTGTTATTTTTTTCTTTTGCACACAAAAAGTATTCTCGTAGCTTTGTATAATTGCGGATGAACCCCTGATGTCACATGGATTATTTTACAGATCTCTTGCTAGGTTTCTGGACTTAATGTGAGAGCTGTCAGACCCTCCCATAGACAGCAACACAACTGAAATGTTCCCAAGTCCAGAAACCTAGCAAGAGCTCTGTAAAATAATCCATGTGACATCAGGGGTTCAGCTGCGTCACACGAATACGCGGTTTCCTTTCAGATCAAATCACAACAACGTAGGAAACAGATCCGGCGTGACGCAGGCAGCTGACACTGAACTGCATACGCTGTTTACGTCCAGCAGATATTCTCCAAAATGGCTGTACAGGGTGATGTGAAGGAGACGAATTGTTGAATAAAGTTGTTATTTTTTTCTTTTGCACACAAAAAGTATTCTCGTAGCTTTGTATAATTGCGGATGAACCCCTGATGTCACATGGATTATTTTACAGATCTCTTGCTAGGTTTCTGGACTTGGGAACATTTCAGTTGTGTTGCTGTCTATGGGAGGGTCTGACACTCTCAGATTCCATCCAAAATATCTTAATTTGTGTTCCGAAGATGAACAAAGATCTTGCGCGTTTGAAACGACACGAGGGCGAGTAATTAATGACAGGATTTTTTTTTTCATGTTTGTGTGAACTAACCCTTTACATTTTATTGCATGTTCATAAATTCTGAATTAAATGTTGTTGTTTTTTTGTTTTGATACCTCAGTCCACTTAGGTTAATGGCACATGTCATTAACGGTGATGTGCCTTCGGCGTCTGTTGCAGGTCCCAATCAGAACTGGAACCAGGGATACGGAAATTACTGGAATCAAGGTTATGGAAATTACGGGAACTATGGCTACAACAATCAAGGCTATGGTGGATATGGGGGCTATGATTACTCGGGTTACAACAACTACTACGGATATGGTGACTACAGCAGTATGTAATACTGTTTGTGAACGCACAGATGAAAAAACTAAGGATATATTGTATCGTGGATTGTCGGTACTCGACCCGGACTATGACAGTTGTGCACTAAATTATCTGATGCTTGTATCATACATGCCTTACGCTTCGAGAGAAATCTCTAGAACATTGCTACAGTTGCTTTTTGTCCTACAGGGAAGGCTTGCTTGCACAAAGCGATACTGTACATATGTATTATAATAACTATGGTGCTAAATATAAAAAGGGATGTCTTAGCTTCCAAAACACATCTGTCAAAGTGCCTTTGAATCCATTGGACATGTAAATCTGTAGGCCATGCAAGAAATGACCGCCGGACGGCGGTCGTTTTTAGAAAATAATAAACAGTTTTCAAACATTCATTCACGCCACAGATCTGTGTCTCTCACCACATTTTCACAATACAGTATTTTGAAAGAATGTTTGAATACGATTAACGTAAGTATCTCACAAGTGTCACGAAATTGGCTCTAAAACCTAAATTGCTACGGCTGTTTTCTGTTTTCCGCCTTTCTCGAGCGCTCGTGTGCCAGCACGTTTAACCATAGATGTCTGCGTTGTTTGTGTTTTGTGCTCCTAACTCTAGATCAGCAGAGCGGCTACGGCAAATCCCCGAGGCGAGGCGGCCATCAAAACAGTTACAAGCCGTATTAACGGGAAACGTGCAGGTATGTTGGCGCGTTGCTCACGCCGACGCGTCTCTAAATCACCATTTGTAAACATTTTTTTTTGTAATGTACGTTGCTTAATTTTTGTTTTTCTCTAAAGTTTCACAGCACCCTGAAGTGCTTTACAGTAGTGGTAACATAGAGACTTTTGGCAGTAATGTAACAGCTGGCTTTTGGCTGTTTCTTGCCATTTTTAACTGTAAAAATTAACAGGTACAGTACTGCTAAATGGGTACCAGAAAATAAGGAATTACAAGGAAAGAAAGCCGAAGAATGTTGTCTCCTAACTCTGACATATACCTTGTTTGTACCTGCCAGCGGGGACTTCCTTGCAGGCCATGAGCTGACTTCCCGATTGTCTCAGGCCCGCTCAATGCGGACAGGGTACGAGAGGCGTACGCTCTCGAATGCTCCCATTTGGTATGGTCTTCCAACATCCTGTATACGAATTGTAAAAACAACTACAGCAACAAAAACATAAAAAGGACACGTCAAGCTTTTATCTTCTGTTTTTGTTTTGTGTGTATTTTTATTCGGTTTTTTTTGTATTAAAATGTTCCTCTTAAAACCTCTTGTTATTGGTCTTATGTAATAATATATAATGTAATGGCATTTTTTCCAGGCACCATCAAGTAATGGTAAAATATGAGACGAGAGCCAAAATTAACTGTTCACTTTTTGAAGGATACGGCTTTCTCTGGACTTTCCAGTGTTAATATGCACTTCTAATCTAATCTTACCTGTAATGCTTGCTTTTCTTTACTTGTAGCTCGTGTAGCTGTAATATCCTGTAGTCCATGAGCTAAAAGCCGGTTTGTACTTGGATGCCGCTGCGCTGGAGAAGTGCTTTTTTTATATTTGTACTGTGTGATCTTCTACTGACAGCGGTGGAAAAAGCTTCACCTGTAAACCGTGTTAATTTCATCTAACGGATTCTCTTTTTTAACCTTTAGAAATCTTGGAAAGGTCATATTGTTATGCTTGCTATGCTTTCCTTTTTGTCTTTCAATTTCCATCGATTCAAGGTTGCGCGTTAAATGTTACGATTCCACAAGTTTTTAATTTAACACTATTGTATTTGCTATTATTCGATTTCAAAGTCATGTCTTGTCTCCTTATTGAAATTATTATAGAATTGGGATTCCTGTACATTTTATGAGTTTGTGTCCTTCTGAAGCGTAATTGCTATTTTCTTTTTTGTTTTTCAGACGGACGAGCGAAACGCAAGTCAACCCTGAGAGGAGAAAACAAGAGGGCCAGACTTGTTAAATATGGAGTTGATCAACACGGTACTACACTTTGGTCGCCATTTAATTCACCAGTTTGTTTCAAATCTAAAGGACACGCGCTAAAGAATATTTCAAGTGTTATTTTGAACTGTAACGTCCAGAATATTTGTTTTTGTGTGTAATTTGTTGTAGCTTGTGTACGTTTATAATCGTATTCCCTGCTGTGTTGTTGAGTACAATGAACTATAGAGAGCCCAAATCATTTTCGAAATTATTTATATACAGATCTATTAATTTATTGCTTACAAGTGCGTACAGAGTGTAGGACATTTAATATTCATTTCATATGGCAGTATTTTGCGAGAGTCATGTAAACCATTGGAAAATACAACAAAATAAAGTGTATGAACCTTTACGCCTGTTGTTTCTGCAGAGATTAAAGTCATAGCTCACCCAAAAATGAAGACTGTCGTCTTTTACTCTAACAAAAAAAGCATAATTAGATTTTCCAGACAATAAAAGGGAAATTAACTGGATTTCGAGCACAATTCATAATGCACTATAAAAGTAGTTTTAATGCATTAGTTTTGCCTAGAAATGCAGCTTGTAATGCCTTGCATGGTCTCATGAGTAATTGTAACCACAGTTATAATACTTCTCGATTTATTGTCACACCTTCAGAAAGTGTAATGCTTAAAACACAACAAACCCTTCAAATAATAATGCATTTTCTCTGTGGTTGCAATAGTTTATGAAAAGATGCAATGCACATTATCAATACATTTATAGTGCATTATACTTAAAGGCTTTACGTGAAGCATTACCATTATATTTAGTCAATTAAACATTGGATTGCGTTTTACAGTAAAATTACATTTCGGTCGTTATACTTAAAAATGACGTTAAATTCAATGTAATTATTCATGAAATGTAATAGAAATTTCTGATTGTGAATTGTTTAGAGTAAATCCTACACTATTTCGATTTGAGTAATAAGGACTATACTTACATGGTGCTCATTTTGGAGTGTGATAGTCTAGATTCTCTTTCATTATATTGTTTCCAGTAGGAAAGTAATTCACTTTTGGGTGAACTGTTCCTTTAAAGGCTTACTTCTGTCATGCAGCTATGTTTACACAATAAGTACATGCCAATCAGTATTTCCCATAGAACATATTATCTATACAGGCCATACGTCCTCTTGACAAAGACAGCTACTGACTGATACACTAAGAGTTTGAATGTAAAGATACCAAGAAAAACTCTAAATTCAACCCAGACTAGACTTTGCCAAGGTATAAAATCAGTTTCACGAGCACAGAGTGATTTCACAGTAGTTGAAGCATGAGAAATGTTCCAGGAATCCTACGAGTCACTGTCATATTCACAGCTTTAGCGCCGTAATGAAGGTATGCAGGTGTGTAATGAAATGTAGTTAGGATTGAAATGGTTTTTGAGGTCTTTGGAATGAATGTCAAGCACAGCAGTTAGTCTCAAAGCAAGACATCCTGAAACATTTTTCACTTACAATGAATTCTGTTGCTTTCAGTCCCATTATATTAGGATAACAGCCTAAACGAGTAAAAACCACATAATGCATATGCATACACCCCTGACATATTGGCCCCAGATTTATATAGAATTATACAGGAAATGTCAAAAATTACCTATACATGCATCCAGTTTCTTTCATAGTAAAAAAGTCATTAATGCGTAGTGTACTTGTATTGTAATAAAATGGGTTGTATTAGGTGGGAATGACTTTAGTTGCCAACAGGATGATTAAAATGATGACGGCAAGCACTACCACACCAATTATAATCATCATCTTGGTGTTTCTCCACCACATCTTTCTGGCAACACGCGTGGACGTCCTTTGAAACGAGTCAGCCTAGGCAAGATAATTACACAAATAATCAATCGTTATCATTAACAAAAATTAAAAAATGTTTTGTGACTGGTTTGATCATCTGGCACCATGTTAGTTTCACTAAATGCCTTTTTGAGGTCTTGCAGAGATCAGCATGGTCAAGAAACGCTACATATTGGTCTCAGTTTTGACCTTGACGGGTCTCAAAGGCTCACCGTGGCCTGCAGATCGTCTGTTTTGCCGATCAGGTCATCTAACCGCTCTCCTCTCTCCAGGACTTTGTTGATGTTGTCTTTGAGAATGACTTTAACATCATTGACTTGATCCTGAACTTGGTTGAGTTTGCCAGGCGCTTGTGGTTCAGAGTTGTAGTCAGCCTACATTATAAAGAGAAAAACAAGATGGACCCAACATGACAATACACCAATAACAATACACATAACCAGTAACGGGGAAAGTTACTTTTAAGGTAATGCATTTGGTCACTTCATGAAATAGTAACTAATTGTGTACATTTTATGGATTACTTTTTGTACGAACTGGGCTTGCTTAATAACAAAAAACCCAGAAGTTCTATTTTTGGCAACCGTGAAAGCCCTTCCACACCGAAAGTGAAATGAATAAGCCTCAGGCTGAAGGAAATGCCTCTGCCTCTGCACTTACTCCAGATTTCTCTCAACATGAGGACAGGACAGCCGTCAGTCCGTACATGAGAGAACAAAGTAAATGGCGTTACTCGTTGAAAAAGTAACTCAAGATATTTCATTGTAAATTTTAAAGTAATGCATTACTAGTTACTTGGAAAAAGTAATCTGATTACGTAACTCTCGTTACTTGTATTGCCTTATCCCTAAAACTGCACATAACAATACACAAATAAAAACACACACATATCTGTTTCATAACATTATTAGGCCTATCCAGCAGGGTTGTGCACTGATCAGAAAACACCTTTTAAATTGAAATTAAAATACTAAATATTTCATCAATCTATCTATCTGTTTCTCTCTTCCTGTTTTTTTCTCTCTTACTGTCTCTTACTGTTTTTTATATAAAACTGTTTTTGTCTCTTACTGTTTTTTATAAAAAAAAAGAGACAAAAAAAACAGTAAAAAACAGTAAGAGACAAAAACAGTTTTTTATAAAAAAAATGTTTTGTCTCTCTTACTGTTTTTTATATAAAACTGTTTTTGTCTCTTACTGTTTTTTATAAAAAAATGTTTTTGTCTCATTTACTGTTTTTTTGTCTCTTTTTTTTTATAAAAAAAATGTTTTGTCTCTCTTACTGTTTCTTACTGTTTTTTATTTAAAAAACGGTTTTTATCTCTTACTGTTTTTTATATAAAACAGTTTTTGTCTCACTGTTTTTTATAAAAAACTGTTTTTGTCTCTTACTGTTTTTTATAAAAAACTGTTTTTGTCTCATTTACTGTTTTTTTGTCTCTTTTTTTTATAAAAAAAATGTTTTGTCTCTCTTACTGTTTCTTACTGTTTTTTATTTAAAAAACGGTTTTTATCTCTTACTGTTTTTTATATAAAACTGTTTTTGTCTCACTGTTTTTTATAAAAAACTGTTTTTGTCTCTCTTACTGTTTTTTTGTCTCTTTTTTTTATAAAAAACTGTTTTTGTCTCTCTTACTGTTTTTTTTGTCTCTTTTTTTTTAATAAAAAACTGTTTTTGTCTCTCTTACTGTTTTTTTGTCTCTTTTTTTTATAAAAAACTGTTTTTGTCTCTCTTACTGTTTTTTTTGTCTCTTTTTTTTTATAAAAAAATGTTTTTGTCTCTCTTACTGTTTCTTACTGTTTTTTATAAAAAAAACGGTTTTTGTCTCTCTTACTGTTTCTTACTGTTTTTTATAAAAAACAGTAAGAGAGACAAAAACAGGAAGAGAGAAACAGATAGATGAAACAGTAATTACTGTTTTCAAACATGACAGTACCAAATCAGCACGGTACTGTATCGTACTGCCAGTAAAAGAAGGCAGTATAATATTGTGAATTAGACAGGATATCATTATTGGCAGTATTTCCCTCACATGACAATCATATTCAGATGAGTCCAAAGATCTAGATGAAGTCAGCTTCAACAGATAATGGCGTCATATTCTGTTAACCACCATAAAACACGGACACATTGAGTTTCATGTGCTGGTTTATCATCTTTAATGACTACATATGTAACAATGTTCGTTTGAACGCACACGTCGTCTCAACAGGCCGGTCAAAGCCTTGAACAAATAAGCATTTAAATAAACATTTAACTAACAAACAGTGCAGGCTTTCTAGTGTACTTACCATTCTGAAACTTATGTGAAACTTCCTCAGATGTTCAACTGTAGCTGCCAGAGGGTTTTCCAAAGTTAGACCGAGACCATTGCTTAAAGGACAGGGTTTCTAGAGAGGCTCGTTCCTGCGAGCTACAACACGAGCACAAAGGAACAGGATGAAACATTAGAGAACTCATTTGCAAACAGAGCTTCCCCTCCCAGACAGATTGCACATTAACCAGCACCACACTTCCTACTGGCTCCTCACGTGTCTGTCACTCCGGCTCAACCCTGCACCGCTCTGCTGACATACACTGTAAACAATTATTGTGATTTTTACAGTAAAAGACTGTTAACTGGTTAACAGTAAGTTTCCATACTATATTTGGTGAATACATGCAATTACATTTAATGTAATTTTACAGTAAAATACTGTTAGAAATAAGTTTTTTGGAAGTGAAAAAGAAAAAGTCATTGTATAATTTACAGTGAAAACCCGTAAATTGACACTCCCAGAATTCCCTACATGACGCTTCATATTTGATGTTTTTTTGTTGAAATAACATGTTTCTTCTTCTTCTTGTGTTTCTTATCAGTTGTGTACATTAGAGTTTAATCTTGCATCTAATGTTGTTAAATTAGTGTTTATTGCATTATTTCAGCATCATGTGTGTCACCGTGAAGGGGTTTAGTGTTTGTGTGAATGACACTGTGCACCTTCATATATAAGTATTGTCCTCCTCAGCTCATAGACAAGCTGTTTGTGATGAGCTTCGGTTCATCATGTGACTTTCTCATCACCACCAGTTTTTGGTGGTTATCAGTGCATTACAATGGTTCAAAACAGATATTAACACTTCAATATGTTGGTTTGTTAACATTACATCAGTTAATGAAATGCGGTATTTTATTGTGAATTTAAGTTAAAGGGGTCATATGATGTTGCTAAAAAGAACATTATTTTGTGTATTTGGTGTAATGAAATGTGTTTACGCAGTTTAAGGTAAAAAAACACATTATTTTCCACATACTGTACATTATTAAATACAACTTAACCACTGATTTCTAGTCGTGTCCTCTTTTGGAAGACCAAACAAAGTAGTTTCGCTTTCACATTGAAACACACCGTGGCCTAGAGTGAGCGGCGGCGGGTGGGCTTGAGAACGGCGCGGGCTTGAGAACAGCGCGGCCGGCGATTTCGACGAAGGAGCGTCCGGAAGGACATGTGACGACCCCAGGCTGGACTCCACTTCATCCACGGGGAAGGCGATCCGGTGATCCACAGCACTAAGTTGATGTATTTCCTCAGCAGCCAGCACGGATCAGCTCCAGGCATGACGAAGTGATATCGTCCTCTTTTGGAAGACCAAACAAAGTAGTTTCGCTTTCACAACGAAGCACACAGCGTCTTCAGGACATGGCGGCGGCGGCGGCAACAATACTACAGCGAGACTAAAAGTAACTCCTTCTTTCTTTGCGTGAACATTTGGGCGGCGTTATGCAAATCTTCCCACATAGTGATGTAGACATGTGGGGGCGTGTTAGAACGAGGCGTTTTAGGTAGGCGTGGTTGACTCTTAACTTTTATAAAGAATATCTCTTTGGATTTGAGACTTTAGTCTTTGCAACTTTACAGATCTTCTTTATGCACCAAGAGCTTGTAACACTCCAAAGAGAAAGAAACAATTGAAATTGCATCATATGACCCCTTTAAGTCTGTAAAACCTAAAACGTTGCTACCATATTTTTTACGGTGAAGTTCTGGCAACCACAGCTGCCGGTATTTTACCGTAAATGTCACCGATTTTTTTTTTTTACAGTGTACACTATAAGAGCTGCTGAGTCTTTCTGTTCTGGTGCTGTTACACGCTGTAGGGCCGGGAAATACATATCACACCTGCTTTTCTCTTTACAGGGGCATCTGAAAATATCCCTTTTTTAATTTGATTATAAATTCAGAATAGCATCATCTGATGACTTTCTGGAGAACACTGGATGAAAATACTTGATCAGTATTGCTGTATTCCCTTCATATCAGTTATGCCTTGCTATAAACAATTCAAGGAACCACAGTTGGTTATATTAACAGCTGTTTATAGATTTATAATCATTTCACAGGACTTTAACCTTATAGCAGATGACTTGACTTCATTGTTAAATATTAAACAAGTAATAATGTTGTTCACTAACTTAAAACTCTTTAGGTCGTTTACTGTATGTTTTGGTGTAAGTGACTGTTCTGTGAAAAATCAGTTGTCAAATATGATTTTATACGAGTTTGTTATAATAATGTGGGGTGATGGGCGTCAGTCAGATTTTTTTAATCACTTTGAAAGCTTTATATGCTCACCAAGACTTGTTTTATATGTTAAAATGTAATTTATTCCTCTGTTCAAGGCTGAATTTTCAGCATCATTACTCCAGTCTTCACAATCATTCAGAAATCATTCAAATATGCTGATTACTGTCACTTTCAATAAATTTAATGTGTCCTTGTTGAATAAAAGCATTGGATAGAAATATATTTGATTGCTTAATTAATCTAAATTTGCATTATAGCATTACATTACACTATTACACTACCTAATCGTTTAGTTTTACAATTAATGGCCAAAGTACAATCCTAAACGGATTTATTGGACAAATATCATTATTAATATGATGTTATACACAAATGCTGTTAGTCATGTGTATGTCTGTCTACACAGGGCCTGAAGTTATCATTAGACATGAACGAGGCTCAGTGGGGAATCTGGCTTTTACTGTACAAACGGCGCTTCTGTCCTGTTTTTCTGGTGCCACGCAGGCGCTTTTTATGTGTTTATGGCAGTGCTTATACATTGGGACGGGCTTTATTGCAATGTTTTCCCTTTATGTGACAGAGTCTTCCTCCAAGGGGCGCTTAGGCTCACAAAGCCGAATCCGTCATTAAAACACGCTCGTATACTCAGGGATTTATCTCTTATTTGAGATAAATCCCATTTTATTGACTAAAACCTGATATTACCCTCTACATTTCTTTATTCCAATGATAGTTGCATGATATACAAAGAGAAATACGTTCCAGCAATCTTCATAAAATGCCAAAACAAGTCAATTTCCTGTAATCAAGTACGATTGTGATTGGTCTAATCTGCGCAGCGCTGAGAAAAGTAACAGACAAAATGCCATTCCTGTGCACACTGAGAAAGGTTAAAATCTGACAAATATTTATTGACAAACATTAAGCATTTTACCTGGCTAGTTAGAGGTAATATCAGGGCTTACTTTCGAGTCAGTCTCAGTTGTGCTGCCGATTTAAGAACTGCAGCGTGAAGTTCCCCTTTAGAAAATCCGTCAGATAAAGTTTTTAAGTCACTCTTTGGCATGAGGACGCTTTAACAGGACAGTGGTTTATGCTTTAAAGTGCCCCTATTATGCCATTTTTACGGTTTCTAATATTGTTTTGGGAGTCAATAGGATTACATGCATGTAAGGTCAAAAAACGCTTTTGTTTTCTCAAAATATGCATTTAATATCACCTCATTTTCCAGCGATTCGCGAACAATTCGTTCGAAGCAGTTCAAAGATTCAGTCTCTCTAAACCCCTCCTTTCCGTAAGCCTGCTCTGCTCTGATTGGTCAGATGGGCTAGTCTGTTGTGATTGGTCTCCTGCGTACAACGCATGTCGGAAACTATATGCCTGTTTCAGTAGTTCTGTATTTTAGAACACTCTATAGAAAATATAAACATCTATTATTTATCATACTTACAAGTTGTGATTCAGTGGAGCAGCTGGTCCAAATAAACAGCATACTGATCAATCTTTCAACAGCAAGTGTTTTGGGAGTCTGTTGAACTCCCTGAGATTAGAGAAGCAGTTATCAGTAAAATGACGTTTGTGGGTGGTGTCAAGTTGTTCGCGGCCGGCCGACTTAGAACCAAAGACTATAATATCCTAAAAAAAAGGACTTTGGTAGAACATTGACGCACATTATGCAAATGTGTTACCCTGTGATGTGTAGCCATCACGGAAGTGGGTTTCTAATTACTATCTCTCATCTCTATTTATGTCTCTGCCTGACAAAAGAGTCGCTTGTGATTGGTTAAAGTAAATACCAACTATTTAGCCACGCCCACTAAAGTTCTTCATACTGTTTAGACTGTTGAAAAAACCAGCATATGCTGGTTAGGTATTTTGAGGCTGGGATGCTGGTTTAAGCTGGTCCTTTGCTGGTTTAAGCTGGTCCTTTAGCTGGTTAATGCTGGTCCTTTAGCTGGTTTATGCTAGTCATGTGCTGGCAAAAGACCAGCATAAACCAGCAAAGGACCAGTTTAAACCAGCAAAGGACCAGCATAAACCAGCAAAGGACCAGTTTAAACCAGCAAAGGACCAGTTTAAACCAGCAAAGGACCAGCATAAACCAGCAAAGGACCAGCATAAACCAGCAAAGGTTTATGTTAGAAACATGCTGGCAACATGCCAGTCATGTTCAAATATGTTAACAACATGCTAATCGTGCTAGAAACATGTTAAAAACAAGCAAGCAACATATTAATCACGCTAGACACATGCTAGCAACATGCTAGTCATGTTAGAAACAGGTTAGTAACATGTATATCATGATAAAACATGTTAATCATGTTACAAACATGTTAGCAACATGCTAATCATGCTAGCAACATACTAATCTAATGAACATGCCAGCAATGTGCTAATCATGCTAAAACATGTTAGAAACACGCTCATCGTTAAAACATGCAAACAACATGTTAACAACATGATAATGCTGACAACATGTTAAATCATGTTAGCAACATCTGTCTAATCTATCTAAACTTTCAAACGTCAAGCTTTTACAACTGCTTCAAACTTTCAAGGCTTTCTCAAGCCAACTTCAAAGTTTGTTCCCAAACTTTACTTAGCAAGTTGTTACCTAAAAAGCTAAATTATAAAAAAGTACTCAAAATAAAATAAATTTTCTAATATGTTGCTAACATGTTTTACCATGATTGACATGTTTCTAGCGTGATTAGCATGTTTCTAGCATGTTTTAGCATGATTAACATGTTTCTAGCGTGATTAGCATGTTTCTAGCATGTTTTACCATGATTAACATGTTTCTAGCGTGATTAGCATGTTTCTAACATGTTTTAGCATGATTAACATGTTTCTAGCGTGATTAGCATGTTTCTAGCATGTTTTAGCATGATTAACATGTTTCTAGCGTGATTAGCATGTTTCTAACATGTTTTAGCATGATTAACATGTTT